AGTTGTTGATAGACCTTTATTTTATTTATTTATATGAGGTGCTGAGAATCGAACCCAGTGCCTCACATATGCCAGACAAGTGCACTACTGCTGAGCCACAGCCACAGCCMCAGCCCTTAGAATATCTTTTTACGAATACARTGGCAAGAAAGTAGCATTATATTAGGAAAATGAATGATGCGAGCCTTTGCCTTCAAAGAAAATATCAGACGGCTGCTTATTGCTTGGTCTCCCCTGTGGGTGGCAGGTGTCTGGCACAGCACACTTTCAAGATCAGAGTCARCCTGAGAGTTTTCCAGGGCCCATGACTTCAGCCCAGTGGCTTGAAATATCAGAGATTACATGTGCTCACAGGCTCAGAGCCAGAGTCCAAAATCAGGGGCCAGGCAGAGCTGGTCCTCTGGGGCTCTGGAGAGCACCACCCACACCTCCTTTGTCTTGGCTGGTGGAAACACCACCCCGTTCTCCACCTTGGCTGTCACATGCCTCTCCCTGTGCAGCTCTTCTCTGCTCAAGAACATACCAGTGCTTGRCCAGTCCAAGAGAGCCTCATCTCAGTGTCCTTCCCTGAAAAGATCTATTTTCTAMATAGAGTCACACAGGTTAGGACTCAGATGTCTTTGGAGGAGCCATCATCCAAACTATTACAATCAGTTTATAAGATTCTGACTTCAAGAAGTCTCCCCTTCTGTGTCAAACCCTAGGAGGGTAAAAAGATGACTCTCTTGTGCACTGTGGACAGAACATGTTCCAAATGTCACAGCACCCCCAACCCCAGCTATATTTAGGGGCCGTSGAGGAGGTGAGTTTGTGAGCGTGCATCCTGATCCTGGGACTGTCCTTGTAGGAAGCAGAAGAGGAAGRGCCTGTGGGGACACAGGAGAAGGCTTGCCTGAAAACCGGGGAGGGAGGACACAGGGAAGCAGCCCTCTGACACCCTCATCCGGGACCCCAGGCTCTGTTTCTGGTAGGAAGTATCTACTGTTCTTGAGAAATGGGGGCTACTCTCCCTGAAAGGGTCTGAGACACAGGAAGCAGTAGGCCCCMTGGCYAGGGTCAGGCCAGGCCCCAGGAGTKGGGGTGTTCAGAGTATAGGAGGCACAAGGTACTGGTCAGCAGCACCCAGATCCAGTAGTAGTCACAACAGGACTGTTAGTGCCACCAGACTCACACAGACCCTGTCCTGTCTGGGGCACACTGGGATGTTCAGAGCAGGTGGGCAGAGGAGCAGAGGGAGAGAGCTGGCTTCTGTGGAGGTGAACTGCCCACCCACATCAAGCTCTCTTTCATAGACAGCTCAAGAAAAAAAGAGGAATCTAGAAGTTCAGCTAATTCAGGGGTGAGTTCAGCCWGGGATTCTTTTCATTTCACACTCTTGCATTGTTTGCAAGAATGTTAATCTTGGTAATGTTTTTTAATAGCAGCAAAAGTTTTATTTTATATATATATTTTTTATTTTTTTACATATATATATATTTTTTTAATTGGGTATTGAAGATTGAACCTGGAGGCATACACTGAGCCACCTCTTCAGCCCTTTTTATTTTTTATTTTGAGACCGGGTCTTGCTAATTTGCTTAGGGCCTTGCTTCATTGCTGAGGTTGGGCTCRTACTTGCAGTCCTCCTGCCTTAGCCTCCTGAGCTGCTGAGATCACAGGTGTTTGTGATATATCTTACCACAATGAGTGGAGAACTGCTACACTTAACTGGTCACTGTAGAAATTGGAGGTTCCCCTCCTGTCATCTTCTACGCAGGTAGAGAGTGAAGGCAGTTTGGAGAGATGGCCTAAGCCGCATGTCACAGAATGGCCTTGAAGCCAAAGACCTGTTACCACCTTTTCAGGAAATGTCATCTGAGAAAACACATGCTTCCTGAAATGTCCCTGTTGGAACGCTGTAGCCGAGGGAAATGTTAGGTCACATGGGGTGCAGTGAAGCACTGCTCACTCCTGGAACTGGGCTGCAGGAACGAGCTGCTGAGTGCTGAGCTCTGTGCTTCCTCTTGGGAGCCGTCTATTGATTTGTCTGCACTGGGGAAAGTTTTATAGAACAATCCTGAAGGAATGTTGCTCTTGAGTGTGCTCCTAAGGAAAAGGTGAGGGCCTGTAGGTGCAGGAGGGGAAGCTGCCAGCTCAGGCATGCGATGAACGTGCAACTGTCCTGAGGTTCTTGCAAGTGTGTGAACCTTGYTGTCCGCTCATGATATTGTGTGAGGTCCCATGGATCAGCCCTTCCTCCTGCCCAGCACACCCCCTGGACGATCTGGACAGGACAAGTCAAGCATGCTGCCCCCTCCCATGTGGCAAGATACACACTACCTAAAGTTTACCCCTCAGCCACGTCTAGGCATTCAGTTCAGGGGCATGGCACAAGGACAGCCACATTGCTGTGCTCCTGTCACACCTCCACCTCCAGAGCCCTTCATCTCCCCAAACTGATACTCTGTGCCCACTAAACACCAACTCCTGTCCCTCCTTCAGCTCTCAGTACCCCATCCTACCCTCTGCCTCTGTGATTTAATGACTAAGCACCTCATGAGGTGAAAACAGATGGTGTCTGTTCTGTACTGGCTTGTCTGCCCAGCATAGTTGTAGCATGTCAGTATCCCCTTTTTTGGGTACTTAACCACTGAGCCACATCCCCAGCCCTCTGTCACTTTTTAAGGCTGAGTAATAGTCCACTGTGTGGACTTGCCATCTTTTGTTTATTCAATGTCTGTCAGTGGGCATGTGGATTGCTTCCAGGCTTCGATGTTGTGATCCWGCTGCTGTAAGTGAAGGAGTGCAGATACGTGCAGATGGATACCCAGAAGGGACTTGCTGGGCCATGTGGTAAATCTGCTGTTCTGTTTTCCATGGCGGCTGCACCATTTAACATTCCTGCCARCAGTGCACAAGAATTTCAATCTCTCCACATTCTTGCCAACAATTACTTTCTGTTTTTGGACAGTAGCCCTTCTGATGGATGTAAGGTAATATCTAATTGTGATGCTRAACATGTTTTCATGTGTTTATTGGCCATTCATATTTCTTCTTGAGAAAAATATCKATTGAAGTCCTTTTCCTATTTTTTAATTGAGTTGTTGGGTTTTGTTTCTTGAAGCTTCCTTGGTTTTTTAAGCCAGGGTAGGTGATATTTATTGCTCATAAAGCCAAAGGCCATAAGAAGAGGAAGTGTTTGCTATGTGCATGCAGAGTGAACGACCTGTGCAACATTAAATACTGCCCTACTAGTATTTATACAATTGGAGGTTAGTTTTAGAGGCATCATATTTCTTTSCCACTTTTACATTTTAGTTTACCTGACAGTATAACACCCACTCCCCAAAATCATGGCCTTTTACCCCTTGTTTTCAATACTTTATAAATATAGAAACTAAGTGTAGTTTCTCCAGACTGGCTACTTCTCTTGGATATCACTGTGGGGCTCTGGGCTTAACCCCAAAGTCCTCTGAGCCCTGCCGTGCCCACAGTGCCAAGGAAGTGCCCCTGCAGGGCCCACTAGTGTGGCATCGCCAGGCTGATGGAAGGCACATCACTGCAGGCAGCCAGGAACAAGATGGATTTTTTCCTTTGTGGAAGTGGCCTCCCACCTGTGGGCAGGTTAAATCTGGCTGTAGGACTTGTGCTGCCCTGTGCTGGGGTGTACGAGGTGTGCCTCCCCTGGCGGRAGGCCTGGTCAGCCACCCTTTTCTGCCTCCTGCTTGTTTTTATGGCACTATTTCTGGAGAGCAGTGAATTTCTGCTTTTCCTCAGTGTGTTTGTGACTTTAGCTGGAAAACCTTTTGTGGTTCAAAATTGTCTCCATTCAGTATTTGAATCAGTGACACAAGCTAGGGTAGGATGAGGTGCAGGGGAGGCAGTGGGCAGGCGCACTGTGTCCTGTGCTCCAGGCGCACTCTGTCCAGGGCTGCCTGTGCTGACAGTGGTGAGCRGATTCAGGGGGAAGCCAACACTGGTGAGTGAAAGGGACTTCTTCACAGTTCTCTCCTCCGGAACACCGGAGGGCAAGGAGGCAATGTTGGGTTGGCTCTGAGTGCTTCCCTAGCCTCCACCCGCCAGCTCGTCCCCACAGTGCATTCTCTACACTTCCAGGCCAAGAATAGCCTCGGTGCTCAGTGTGTTGAAAATAGAAATCTCAAGCATCCTGAGTGCTGATGATGTGGATTGCAGTTTGTGTTTTTTCTCACTACAGTGGAGAAACTTTCTGAAGAAAAGGTGTTCGCATTGCTTAGTTATTTATTGCCTTGTGGTTTTATTTCCTTATTTCATAAAAAAGGAGAAGTATTAGAAAATTTCAGAATATTTTAGTGGTTAAAAYGTCTGTTTCTTCTGGTTTGGTTGGTGCTTATCAAGCAAACGTTCCACAGGCTGATTAGCCTCAGTTATGTCTTTAAGATGAGGGGACGGCAGGGATGYTGACATTGCTACATGTGTCAGGGTGCAGCTGACACATCTGTGGTCAGCAGATCAGGCATTACATGGCCACAAAATTCATGGTTTTGTGTCTGGTCTCTGTTTTGATGGAGCATTTTGATGTCTCAGACTGCCTTGACTGAACGTCTCAGAACCCTTGGGAGATTCTAATGCATGTAACATTCTCCAAAGAACCCGGGCACATCCCTGATTTCTCAAAGTGAAAACAGAATATTAGACCTTACCCTGGTACATTGAAGCTCATGATTTATCTCTGATTTAACATGATTTTTATTTTGGTCTCTGAATTGCAAATCAGATATTTATTATGTGGTTTATAAAAAAAGCCAAGTAGAGGTCTCTCTGGGAAAATATTTTAATAAAATGTATCTTTAGGGGCTGGGGATGTGGCTCAAGCAGTAACACGCTCGCCTGGCATGCGCCGGGCACTGGGTTCGATCCTCAGCACCACATAAAAATAAAAAAAATAACGATGTTGTGTTCACCGAAAACTAAAAAGTAAATATTAAAAAATTTTCTCTATCTCTCTCTCTCTCTTTTAAAAAAATGTACCTTTATTTCAGTATGTTAAATAGTGAAGATGAAGAGATATTCAATAATGAAGAATGTGAATATGCGTCCAAAAAAAGGAAAAAGGACCATTTCAGAAATGACACAAATACTCAAAGTAAGATCATTTTCCACAATACTACGATGTTGTGCTTGTTGAGTATGTTGAGATGCCTGATTGCTTTGGCTGTGCCACCTTTTAAAAATGAGCAGTGCTGTGGGTGTGTCAGCAAGCACTCTGTCCAGTGTTGCCTGCTGAGTTAGTGATCAGACGTTGTATATTTCCATCGTTTGAATTTTAGGGTTCATACAAACAGAAGATGGCAAAACCCAYAACGCTGCCCCCCATCCTGAGGGTGGTCACAGTTGAGTCCMTTCCTGAGCAGGGAAGCCAACAGARAAGGGGAGGACATTCGGGGCAGGACTAGAYGTGGGAGGAGCTGGGGTTAGGGACGTGGGAGGCTGCACGGGTAGAAGGGCACAGGAACTCTCCCGGCAGCATCCAGAGCAGTCTCTGACACCTTCCCGGTGTGAGAAGGCAGGCATCAGGGAGAGGCTTTGTTTGTGGAACACAGAGGCGTCCAGGTGCAGAAGGAGGGTTGGATGTGTAGTTCCTCGTTATTCACGCTCTGATGTCCCTGCAGCCACCACTAGCACTAGTTTTCTCTTCAGCTGCTGAGATGGGGGCCATCTGATGTCATTTCCACTGCGGTCTCTCAGCACCCTCAGCCCTTCAGGGACAAGGCATTTCAGTTTCCCTTGCCCCACGGAAAGCACCTTTGTTCCTATAATGCAGCCAGTAACTTAGTTACATGTCCACTGCTGAGGTTCCTTTAAGATCTTCATCTTGAAATAACTTGCATRTTTTAAAAACAGAGTTGATTTTTATTTCAGGTTTTTATCGTGAAAAATGGATCTATGTCCATAAAGAAAGCACAAAAGAAGTAAGTATTTTATTATAAATAGGAGCCTATCCCRAATAGCCTCTGTTGAATATGTAATGTCAACTTAAAGAAGTTATTGTTTTTGAATATCAGGTTTGTGATTCACATTCTGATAGGTGTGTATATGTGAGTAGCGTTTGAAGCGATGATTCACAGTTGTGTGCGTGTGCATAGGTATGACTGTGGGTTGTGAATGTGTGCATGTGCACATATGTGGATGTGTTTGTAGTGCATATTCTACCTGATTGTGTGTGTTGTGTGTGCATATATGCATTGTGTGTTGTGTATGTTTTGTCATGCATCTGATATATGGGATGTGGGGTGTGTGTGTGTGTGTGTRTRTATATATGTGATGTATGGTGTGTGCWTATGTGTGGTGTGTGCATATGTATGGTATTTGTGGTATTTGCTCTGCATATTTGTTACGTGTGCATGCGTGGTGTGTGTGTGTGTCTGCGCACACACTGCATGATCCCCTGTACATCTCTGAACCCAGGGTGGTTATTTCAGACCAGGTTGTGAGGTGTATTCTGTTGGTGGGAGCCATGGCTACAGGTGAGGATGCTCCTTGCTCTGATGTGTGTGTGTTGGAGTGAGGGTGACCATTGAGCCCCTCTTTTTGTGTGGAGACTGACTCCTATGGAATTGCTCTCGACTGGAGCAGCAGAGCAGTKGGAGTGCTTGCCAGCCTTTGATTTCCAGGTCAGCAAAGCTTCCTTAAGAGCCATCAAGCCCTCATTAGCTTCCAGCTCTGTTTCCTTTCTCTCTCCTTAGTGCCAAGGAAGCCTGGCCCTTATTTACCCCTCTCAAAACTGTGCATTTGCTTCCATTCACAGCTGTTGGGGAAAGTAATCCGGGGAGGAATTATTTAGTACATGGTAAAAGTTAGGATAAGTTAAGTGTCCTGGAAGTGTTAACAGTGGATATCTTTAAACTAGCCCAGCATCCTAGAAACTTAGGGATTTGATTCTGAGAAAACTATTGACCTATTTGGTGGTGGTTAGTATTGTTAAATGGGTATAACATGACTCTAGTTCTTAACACGTACTCTGGGACGCCATGGGAAGATTGACAGAATCTAACCTACTTTGTACAAAACAAGGTGTRGAGCTTGTAAAAGACAATTCAGTATTTCACCTTCTGTGCGTTRCTGCACAAATCGCAACTGGAATTTGTCTTCAGGCAACAGGGATGTCCAGGAGTCCTTGGTTAGTGTCTAATGAGCTTGGGATTGCCCAGGACTGGCACTGGGAGCTAATAGGTCCTCATCCCCCCCACCACCACACCTTCCTACTTATACCTGGTATACACCCACGTGGCCTGCAAAGGCAAGCACACTTGTGTGGTTCACTCTGAACCAGACCCATTCCTGTTGTGAGATGATAGCTGTCTGGAAGAGGTGTCTGCACCAACATTTAGAATGTCATTCATTCAAAAAGGAAGAAATTTAGACTGTAAGCTGGGATGTATCTGATGTATTAGGTTGCAGTCTGCATCTGTTTATGCTTGGCTTCACCATACAATGGAAATGCCCTAGGAAAGCATTCTGCACAAGAGATGCTCAGTGGACACGTATGTTGACTGTTTCAGATAAGCGTGGGGTTGGTCTCTGCACACATTAGGACTACCCTTGGCGTGGACACRCAACCAGGAGTGCCTCCAAGGCCGTGTCTGAGACCAGCAGACATTCTGCTGCCCCAGCTGCCCCCAGTCCAGCCCCACTGGCCTGTTTGGAATCTGGGGAGTCATYTGTCACTTCTTACAGTTCCTGTCATTGTCCTCCAGTTCACATGTCCCCACAACTCTGAATTAAAACCCTACTTATAGACATTAGGTATGTGAAACAAAGGTGGAGTTCTGCAGACTGGGGAGTACAAGGTCTCCATTAAGGGAGGTCTGCAGGGTAGGAGTGTACTCTTCAGCTTCAGTTAGACCTTTGATCTCATTACCAGCTTTTTTGTTTTGGGTGCTGGGCACCCATACCCCTATCTTGGAAACTTGCCATCCTCAGATCCACCACATGCCTTCAGACCTCTCACCCACAGCCAGGGGSCCCTCTGAGCCTTGCACCTTGTGACTGAGCCTCCTGGTGCATGGTGGGTAGGARTTTGGGACCCACCTTAACCATAGCACATTCCCAGCCCTGGGCAGTACAGACCTCCCTGCAGGGAAATCCTTCTCTAGCATGTGCAATGCCAGCATCCTTGGGCCTATTTGTATCTGCCCTACCTGTCCATAGCAAAAGAAGACAGCCAGGGGCTGGGATTGTGGCTCAGTGGTAGAGCGCTTGCCTAACAGTGTGAGGCACTGGGTTCGGTTCTCATTACTGCATATAAATGAATAACATTTTTAAAAATTTWAAAAAGAAGCCACTGAGGGATTCTGTAAATACATATGGAAGAAATCTTCTGTATGAAAGCAGATGTACTTTGCATCAACTTTAAAACATGTCCACCTGGCCAGGCAGCCATTGATTGTTGACTGTGCTGACCACTGACTAATCTCACTCCCCTGCTTTTCAGAGGCACGGCTACTGCACTCTAGGGGAGGCKTTCAACCGCCTGGACTTCTCCAGTGCCATCCAGGATATCCGGAGGTTTACATACGTGGTCAAAGTAAGTTTTCTATTTCAAAAATAGCCTTGCTAAGTCTGGGACGCGGCTCAGTGGGAGAGCACTTGCCTAGCGTACACTAGGCCCTGGGTTCAATCCCAGTACTATAGAAGGAGAAAAAAAAATTCTTTGATGATTCTTTCATACCTGTTTTGAAGATGATGAATATGAAGTACCCAAGATGCTTCTTGCAGCTGCAGCAAGGTCTTCCCACTGGCTGTAGGRAGAAAAAGGCATATTCAGGAAGGAACACAGGAGTCAGGGACCTCCCTCCCGCAGGCTATCCCTGCCACCCTGGGCTCTGAGTTCCCAGGGGCCACACCTTAGCTTTAGTTACTGGGAAAGCAGGCTTTCTCCAGCACATCCTGCTATGCCTGCAGATGGGTCATGAGGCAGGACATCAGAGACGGTGTGTTTTGGTCAAGCCTCTGACCCTTCTTTGCTATGCATGATTGTATTTTCCCCTTTGGTCTTACTGTAGGTAGAGTTGGTCACTCTTGTCTTCATTCAGACTTTTACAACCCTGGGAATCACTCCCCAGTCTTTTTAGCCCTGAGATCTCGTCCCTGTCTCCCAGTTTCTCAGATCTGTTCAGTAATGAGGTTGGAAACCTAGAAAGCCACCGTGGGCCAAGACATCTGTATTATGAGGTTTTAAAGACATTTCACCTCTCTACTGAGGGTGGCTTAGTAGCCTCAGCCTCCTTGGCTGTGCATGGTGAGGATGCAGAGGSCGAGCACCTGTGGAGGACCGCTCAGGGGAGCGGCTCCACTCCTCTGCTAAGGGACCTCAAAGTGATTGAGCCTCCTTGTGCATGGTGTGTGGGAGTTTGGGACCCACCTTAAGGGCTGCTGCTGTTCCCTCGTCTTCTGTCTTCTCTTGAGGTGGCAGTGGGCAAGGACTAGGCTGCACATAGTAGGTCCTTYACCATCAGGATGCAGGGTGAGAAGACAAGGACAGAAACCAAATCTCACTGTCCTGGCACCAGGAGAYGTTGTTGACACTTCATTTCCCATGATTCTGAAAACTGTGATAGAAAGCAAGTGGCTTCTCAGTCATCCAGAGACATTTGAAAACAGTGTCGGTCAACATAAGTCTTTGAAAGGTGCCRTCCTTAACGCTTGTGTGGACATTGCTCAGCGGGCCGCCACAGGGACAAGTCAAGGGCTGATGTGTTGTTGTCATGCTGCATTCAGAGCCCTGCTGTGTCACAGAGTCCTCAAACACAGTAGGCATTTCTTATTCCTGAGTGGGAGAAGAGCAAACCAGTCACCTTTCCCATGGCTTGTTGTAAGGTACTCCACTGACTTTTGCCACTGTTAAGGATTCTCTGAAGTTTGGCTTAAAGTATGCACTGGCTAGTAGGACATTCTAAAATCATCAAAATTTTTTGCCAAGTACAAGTACCTTCTCTTTTCAAGAATACTTGTTTCTTAGAAAACATGRAGCATATTATTTCTCCTTTTAAGAAAATTCTTCACAAAAGGATGTCCTCCCATCTTCCAAGTTAGCAGAATTTCTTATGCAGAAAAGGATGCATTTATATATTTTGAAAACCTTTATTAAGTGGTTGATTTGTGATTGAAAGTAGCCTATTTGATTAACTCCAGGTATTTATATAATTTTCCCCCTTAACAAACATGCTAAGGGTTAGGGTTGTGGCTCAGTGGCAGAGTGCTTGCCTAGCATGTCTGAGGCACTGGGTTCCATCCTCAGCATCACATATAAATAAATAAAAAATAAAGGTACATCAACAACTAAAAAAAGTAAAATAAAAAATAAAAAACAAAACGTTCTGGATGAAAGTACATGAGCAAAGTGTGTTAATGCTCCGAAGGAGGGACAGTGAGAGACCAGCCTTGGGGCCTCCTATGGAAGTCAGCTTCACTTGAAGGGAGCATCTTTCTTCTGACATGGGCGTCTGACCTCAACTGAAGTGAGTCTGACCACGTAGCTCTGGTGCTTTCAAGAAAATCTGGGCATAATTGACAATGATGGGGGTAGGCTGGGCTTTGTTCATCAAGTGAGGGCTGACAAAAGCTTATCTTCCAGTGGATCCCAAGCTCCATTTGAGATTGGAATCGCCTTGAGACCGTTTGCAAGTGCTGTACCCTCTTGCTTTTGTTTAACTCAGCAACTTTATCCTCTCAGCAAGGTGACTTGTGGAGCACGCCTAATGCAGCAACTAAGGATGCTTTTACAAAATTAGAACATAAGTTAGAAAGTAGTTGGCTTGGGGAGAAGTAACACTCTGTATTTCTGCCAGTGCCATAAGTCTGTGGACAAGGCGAGTCCCGTCTGGATTGTAAGTGAATGAAGGGTGGTCCAGGAGGGAGCTCTGCTGGAGCACCTGAGGGCAGGAGCCTGTGGAGGTCTGCAGGTAGCTGCTGAGGCTCTGGCCAGCCACCCTTGAAACCACAAACTGCACACAGGTTCAGAGAGTCAGCAGCCCCAAGGACCACAGGTTCTGTTCATTTTGAGTTAAAGACAGTGAAAATGACCTCAAAATCAAATGAGCAAACTTCATGCCATGGGAGGTTATGGAGAGCTACAGGGCAGCCAGCCAGGAGGTGGGGAGCCCTGAAGCCAAACTGCTACACTGGCTCCACCCATCGCAGCTGKGACTTTGGGCTGTTCTTTCTCTCTGCATCTTTTTCTGTTATCCATGCATCAGGGATGATGGTGACCACTGCCTCACAGGCATCATGAGAATCAAAGGCCATCAAATCAAGGACTTCAAGTGATGCCCCTGTGATTGCAGCTCAGTTCATGCTCACGTGGGAATCTGGTGAGTCCAGAAGTCRGATTGGAGCACAGCTGCTTTGCTCTGCCCAGTGCACATCGTGCTGTGAGACGAACTTAGAAATAAGACAGAGCTGAGGCTGGCTGCCCTCCTCCACCCTCTCATGCCCAGGGAGTCAGAAGCCATGGTTTTGTTTGGCCTTACTGAATTTGAGCTGCATGATCAACAGAGACTGGCCTCTTTGATATGATCACATTTTCCTCTGTGGCCATTTTCATAGATGGTTCTCATAATATTCTGACATATGAAGTAATACAAATTCTCTATTTGAAGGATATAACTTTTACTATTTAAGATACAATTTTTGGTGATCAATTTTTGGTGATTACTTAGTTTTTCTGTGTCCTTATTCAAAATTGTCAAATTTTAAGAGATAAATAAAAATCTTCCACAATATTTTTGTTTTAAACAAGATTTTCAAAATGCGAAAAAATTTTGCTTTAGAGCTATATCGAAACTTAGGGTTGTTGTATTTTCCTTGTAAATTGTGTCTTTTGCCCTTTTATCTTAATTATCACTTTGCCCGGGATCATCTTAGTTTGCAGATGCTGGTGTTGGCCCAGGTGGGTCCATGAGTGAGCCCTCCGGGGTGACCAGTCTAAGCCTTGTGCGAGTGACTTTGGCATCTTTCTGAAGCTTTTTTCAGGCCTAATACTGGAAAGTGTCATTTGTGTTGCAGGTGGGGGTCATCATCTCCTGGGATACCTGCTACTGTCCCTGCAGGCTCCTCCCCTGGAGCTCAGTTGTAACTCGAACTGTGCCCGGGGGACCAAGGACACCGAGGGGTGGCTCGTGGAGTCGATCTGTTGATATTTGGCATTTGGTGTTAAGAAGGTTTGAGTGTGATTCTCCCTGTTTCGGTGTTTGGCGTGCTGCWCTGCACATCCTCTGGCTATCCGGGGTAATAGGAGAGTCCTCCTCCTTGCRTGCCACATGCCAGGTGGCCTGGAGCTGGCTGGAAAGGAGGCAGGCATCCTAGGCAGGAGAGGGAAATGATCTTGACCTTAGAAGCCCCACCTACTGCAGGACCTCCCTTCTGCGGCCCTCACTGTTCTTATGGGTGAGAAACAGGGTATGATGACTTTCTTTTCTCTTTCCTTTGAGGAACAGGAGCTGTTTGTGTTCTGGTCTGTTCCCTTCATGTCCTCAGATTGAATCTGTGTGGGATGGCTTTTGGGTGTTGGAGGCTCCACTTCAGTCCAGAATTCAGAATGGACAAGAAGTCCATTGTCGTGCAGATCTTAAGTTCCTTCTGTCAATCCTGCTTTATTAGCAGCAGAGCTAATAACCTATAGAACTGAATCCTGTCTCTGAACTGGCTCTCCACTGAGGCCGGGGCTCACAGTGCCGGTTATGCCAAGGGATAGACAAGGACCTAGTTTGCARTGTGATTCTGAACTGAGAAGAGAGGAGGGCTGGTGTGTGTTTCAGTGGTATAGTGCTTGCCTAGGATGTGGAGGCCCTGGGCTCCATCCTCAGCACACCACAGCAAGGGCACAAAAGCATACACATACTGAAAGCTTAGGCACAGGACTGAATTTCAGCCCTGGCTTCTCGGCTTCACTGGGCTCATGCTGACCTGGCCTCTGGTCGAAGCCCTGGCTCTGCTTCTGTGTCATTTCAGCACAGAGTTCTCCCATAGAAACACATGGAAGCTGCAGAATGTTTGTTCAGAAGATTACCACGGGACTGTCRTATTTATAATGTTATTTGTGGGCTGTGTGAGTTAGCATTTTCTTCTCTCTCTCTGGAAATAAAATCCCCCAAGAAGAAGGAAGGGATGACAAATTCCATTTTCCAAGAAATAGACAGATGCAGTTCGTGGACTTTGTGAGATGCGTAAGGCCTCCCMCACAGCCAGTACTGGTAGAAATACCATAGGCAGACCGAGCAAACGTGCTTGGGTGGCAGAGACTCACCACCCGCTGCATGAGGAGCCCTGGGTACTGGACCCGGCCACAGTAAGAGCAGAGGCTAGTGTGAGGCTAGCTGCGAAGGGCTTCTCCAACCAGTCATGTCAGACATGGGCTCCAGGGTTGTCCACACGTGCAGCCATGCAGGAGGGAGCCTGACATAGATGAGCTCGGCAGCTGCCCTGGTTCTCCTCCCGGAGTCTCCTGCAGAACAGGGCCCAGGAGATTCTGCCTGCCCAGAAGCAGACATAAAAGAGAAGATGGCTTTTACCACATGATCATTCTCTGAAGAAAATATGGAAAGAGCAGCTAAATGAACACCAGAAAAATATATCCATGAAGCAGGGTGGATGCCGTARCCACATTTCAACATGATGGAGGACCAGAAACCAGCCAGTGAGGCAGTTCTGCAAAGGCAGGCTCAGGACAGAAGCTGAAGAAAGATGTGAGCACCACCAAGGAGGTGAGGGGAGAGGCAGGTGAGCCTGCAGAAAAGGTCACAGGCACCGGGGGACTGGAGAAGCCCAGGGGGTAGAGGTGCAAGCTTCGCAGACCATCAGAACGGAGCCACATGGTCGTCTCAGGACTAAGGCTCGGCACAGCTGCAGAGGACACGGGGTGGTGGGTACCCTCCCCAGATCCTCAGAGAGCAGCATTGGAGGGAAGGCTTGGCCCTCTTCCCCGTGGCTTGTGTGTGAGTCAGCTGCTGCTCCACCCAGGTGCTGGGCCCTGAGGCAAAGCGAGGGACTTGCTGCAGGGAAACAAACCAGAGTCCTCACAGAGTGGGAAGAATGGGCCCTCAGACTGCTCCTTCTTCGTTAGGCAATGGAGAAGTCCTTGCTGGATCCTCGTGGACTGTGTGTCTAAACAGCATTTTGTTTGGAGGCTGCAGACAGGAGCACTGACCACATAGGAACACAGATAATATTGTTTTTGCATAGATTTAGAAAACTTTAATTGTCACATAATAATTGAACAAATTTGTGAGGTACAGTGTTCTGGCCACATAGTTTATAACTAGCTTGTCCATTTCCTCACACATTCATTATTTCTTTGTGGCAAGTACATTCAAGACCACTCTGCTGGTTTTGAGATCCACAGTGTTGTTGTTAAGGACATTCACCCTACTCTGCTTGTCGACACCAGTGCTCCTCCTGTCCAGCTGYAGTGTGGCACAGGTCAGCCGAGCCTCTGCTCACCCTCCCAAGCTCCTGCTCACACTGTGGTCCTGTCTTCTGTGAGAATAGCTGTTGAAGATTCCACATGCGAGAGACTGTGTCTGGCTTATTTCACATAACACAGTCATTTCCATTTCTATCGGTGTTGTCTCCAAAGGCTGCATTTGTACACTGATTTTTATCCTGCACCTTCCTGAATTTGATGATTAGTTCTAGTAGTTTTTTGGCAGTCAGACCTTGTCATCTGCCAACGGTGAGAGTTTGACTTCCTCTGGTCCGAYTGGGATGCCCTGGCTAGGATTTCCAGGATTGTATTGACTGACAGTGCACAGTGGGCATCTGGTCCCCTCCAGACTAGAGAGTTCTCAGCTGCCCCTCCAGGATGCTGGTAGCTGGGGGCGTGTGCTGTGTGCCTTCCGTCCCTCTTGTGTCAATGGTTTTTGTCCTGAAGGATGTTGACTTCCATCAGATGCTCTGTCCAAGCAACCTTGTGGATTTTGCCCTGGAGACTGCTTCCCTGACCACCATGGCGAGTCGTCTTGACATGCTGCTGGCCCCGGTTGCTAGAGTTCTGTGGGCCTTTGTCCCCCAGGATGCTGGCTGGTGGTGTTCTGTTGTGTCCTAGTCTGATTTTGGCACCAGGCCATGCTGGCCTCCTAGAATGCATTAGGATAATTCCTCCCCTCCTTGGTGTAATCTGAGAAGAAGTGCAATTAGTTCTTCAAGTGCTTGGCAGAACCCAGCAGTGGAGCTGGGTAGTCCTGGACTTTTCTGGGACAGGGATTTTACTCCTTGCTCAGGCTTGTTACTCACTGTTGATCTGTACAGGTTTTCTGTTTCCTGGTGATTCAGTCTTCGTAAGTTGTGTGCTTCAGGAGTTTCCTCTAGAAGGTAGTGTAGAAGGATCTGTCTGAAATGGTCACAGCTCCTGTTTTTAGTCCAGACCTTGGCAATCATGAGCATTTTTGAGGAAACTAACTTCAACCAATCAAGAGATGGCTAGGAAAGCAGTGKCAACAGAAGTGGACATCAGCAGTGGCCCAGTGCACTAACTGTGGCCGGGAGGTGACATGCGCGGACCAGGGTGCAGGACCGAAGTGAATGTCCTAGACCCTGGCAGTGAAGAGGTGGTGCAGCTTGCAACACAAGGTGGGGAGAGGGCCACAGGGCAAGGGGGAGGGGCAAGAGAATGTCAGCTTTACCCTGAGTGTTTGGAAACCACTGGGACTGAGACGTGCTGTYGAGGTGCGGGAGGGTGAGAGAACAGTGCTGGGAACCACTGGGACTGAGACGTGCTGTCGAGGTGCGGGAGGGTGAGAGAACAGTGCTGGGAACCACTGGGACTGAGACGTGCTGTYGAGGTGCGGGAGGGTGAGAGAACAGTGCTGGGAACCACTGGGACTGAGACGTGCTGTCGAGGTKCGGGAGGGTGAGAGAACAGTGCTGGGTTAAATTACAAAAGTAACTTCTGGGATGAACACAAAAACTTCCCTAAGTTCTAAAGGAAAATGAGGACTTTCTTTAAAAGTTACCAAACAAAAATATGTCATACAAATAAGGCCAAACCCACGTTGAATCAGTAAAGATAGGCTGGTTAGGCCAGAGGTTTCCAGATAGAACCAGAAAGCAGAGCGACTCCAGGCTGTGCCAGAGCAGCACRCCAAAATGCAGACTCTTGGGGGAGGGCGGTGGGCTCAAACCAGGAGGAGAGGTATGGAAGAAAAGCACATCAGCTTTGTGAGGCCAGCATGGTGAGGGTGCTGTGTGAGGCCAGAGGGCAGGCAGAGGTGGATGTGTGCACTCTTCATGCCTGGAGTGAGGCTTGCACCTTGCAGATCCCAGGTGGTCYTCACTGTGGGGCCCTCGATGTTCTGCCAGTGTTGCTGAAAGAGCTGGAGCATGGCATGGCTTCTGTCTTTCCGTTTCCAAAGGGAAGGGCCTGTTGACTTTCTGATTGTGTGGTCAGCAAACAACCGTGAGTCTGGGTRTGAAATAGCATCACAGTGGGTCTGATCAGGACAGGCACATCCACATCCCCATCCTGTAGCCTCTTGTTGAGCACCTGCACAGGCCTGGAGGGCAGAAGGCATCCTGCACAATGGCCTTCCTGGAGTGTTCCCAGGGTAAGACAGGTGATAGCCATTTCCTATATGGATGCAGACTGCCCAGGGCTGGCCAGGAGCCTTGGTCCAGGTGTCTTCCTTCTGCACTGTGCCTTGTCACCATGCTTGTGTTCCATGTCACATGGATTTGAAGATGCTTAGCTTTCTTTTCCCTCTCTCTTTAGCTATTGCAGCTGATTGCAAAATCCCAGTTAACTTCATTGAGTGGTGTTGCACAGAAGAATTACTTCAACATTCTGGATAAAATTGTTCAGAAGGGTAAGACAATCACTGATGTTTCAAATAATCTGAATCCTCATTAGAAATTTAGGGCAAGAAGAGATTTTTCTTTTCTCTTTCCCCAGTATTTATGTAGTGAAAAACAATAATACAGACACATGACAACGTCAGACAGGAAGGCAGGTTGTCCCCGAAGTCCCAGAGTTCTTTCGGTGCCGGTTTTCTTTCTGAAATCTCTCTTGGCACACCAGAGAACCAGTCTCCCAGTTCTACAGAGCCACTGTGCCTTCTCATGATCAGCCAGCTACACTTTACTTGGCTGAGTGGCTCCGCAAACAGCAAGATGGTGGTTCATTCACTCTGGCCAATAATTCTATAATAATATTCTTTTAAATTTAATGAGCTTGCTTTTGTTATTGTAGCAGCAGTCAGTAGAGGGAAGTTTAAATTTTATACCATTAGTTTAGTGCACATGTAAAACTTAAATATTCTCTTTATGACAAGTACAAAAAAAAGTATATACTGACCATTTTAAAGGCAAAATTGTAGCTCCAGCTGAAGATTTGCTGATAAAATGTAAAATTTTTAAAAATCTCATTATACTTGGGATATCTCAAAAATGAAGCCAGTTTAGGCTGTAATAAAATTACACACTTGTTTTTTTTATTGTGGTAAAATACATCTGACGTTTACCACTCTAACCATTGTTAAGTGTGCAGTTCGGCAGCATTGCGTGTATCACCACCATCCATCTCAAGAACGTCTTCKCTGCCCAATTGAATTCTGTCCCCATGGAACACCAGTTCTGGCCCCTGGCATCCACACTCTGTGTTCTGATGCGATTCTGATTGTTGTTACTTCATGGAAGTAGAAGTGCACTGWCACAACCTGCATGATGTTTACTCAGTTTCCCCAAACTAGGGCAGTGAGTCAGATTAGAAATATTAAAGATATGAGAAATAAGTGAAACAGCGGGATCCGAGGGGGACCAGCTCTGATGAGACTGGATCTAACAAAGAACAAGAGTCTGCATTTCATTTTCATAGGTAGGGACATCAAAGTGTGCCAGTGTGACCAGCTTCTTGAGGAAAATAGGATGAAGATGGGAAAAATAACTTGTTTGGGGATTGGCAGGTTACGCCCATCTCCTCTACCTCTGGGCAGCTGTGATTTGAAATTAAGCCTTTCTGAACTAGTGAGTTCCATGGCAAACATAGACTTTCCCCGGTCAACAGGAATCAACTTGCAAAGGGGCATTCCCCAGGCACCCTTGCACTGAGCAGTGAGTGTTTCACTGTCCAGGGTCTCACATAGTTCAAAGCAGTGACTTGTCACCTGCCCACAACAGTGCACCATCTTTGTCCTTGCGAGGCTTGCATTCACTCCACACAGGGTCTTCTGGGCTCGTGGTGTGGCGGCACCTCAGTCTTCTGCTTAAGGCTGATACTCCATCGTGAGGATGGTCAATAGACACCTGGGTGTGAGGCTAGACCAGTGCACAGCGTGGTTCATTACATCAGCCCGTCACTTTGTGTTCCTTTTCCAGTGCTCTGTGACCACCAGAACCCTCGCCTGATCAAGAACCTCCTGCAGGACCTGAGCTCCACCCTCTGCACCCTCATTAGAGGGGTAGGGAAGTCAGTGTTGGTGGGCAACATCAACATTTGGATTTGCCGTTTAGAAACTGTCCTTAACTGGCAACAGCAACTACAGAACCTTCAGATGACGAAGGTATGAGTGTCTTTCTTCTTTTAAATATTGTTTTATTGACACTTAGTAACTATATGCACTTATGTACAGAGTGGCACTTAGTGTGTACAGTGCAATGATCACGATCATGTCAGGGTAATTGGCGTATCTGTCACCTCAGTGCCATTTCTTTGAGTTGGGAACATTTCAGAATTCTCTGTTATCTGCTTTGAAATATTCTATTAGTTATTGTCAATCATCATTATCCTCCGGTGCCACAGAACATGAGCCATGACCCTCCCATTCAGCAGCACCTGGACCTGTTACCTCCTATTCCATCCTCCTTCCCACCTGGCAGCCACTCTTCCTCAGTTCTGTGGATCAGCTTTAGCTTCCACAAATGAAAAGGCGTGGTGCTTGTCCTTCTGGGCCTGACTTATTTCACTTAACATAGTATGTTCTAGTTCCATCCATTTTGCTGCAAATGACAGGATTCTATTATCTTTGGGGCTGAATAGTGTCCCACTGTGTATATACATTTTCTTTATTTATCCATCAGTGGGCACCAGGGTTGATACATATCATAGCTCTTGCAAATGATGCTGCAGAGGATGTACCGGGCAGGAGTTTCCCCACCCCATGGGCTTGGGTTCCTTGGGATGTGTAGCCCATGGTGGAGTGACTGGATCACACTGAAGGTCTGTCTGAGGTTTGAGGGACCTACACACCGTTCTCCATATGGCTGTACTAATTGGCACTCCTGTCAACCAGGTCTCAAGTCCTCCTTYCTCCACATCCTCTCCAGATAATAACAGCCATTGGGACTGTGGTGAGGGGTATTTCCTGAGGATCAGTGATGCTGCATGTTTTCATGCAACTGTGCCATTTCTGTGTCCTCTCTTGAGACATGTTGTTTCAGTTAGTTGACCCATTTTTAACTGGATTTTTTGGAGTTTCCTGTGTGTTCCAGAAATTAACTCCTTGCTGGATGAGCAAGCTCCAACACTTCTCCCATTCTGCATGTCTTACTTCATGGGATGGGCTGCTCCCTGCTGTGGTCTCCCTTGCTGTGTAGGAGCTTTGAGTTGATAAGCCTGATTTGCCAATTCTTGCTTTTGTTGCCTGTGCTTTTGGAGCTGGCAGCAAGCTCACTGTCTCACTGTCTAGAGCACGACAGTGATAGAAGCACCAGCTGGTGTGTGCTGGCTGGGCTTGGTGGTGGTCTCCGGGCAGCACTGATCTGGAGCATTCGATAGCTTCTCACTGTGCTGGCTTCAGGCCACCCAGAGGTCAGCTGGTTCATAGAACTCCTCCATGTGGCAGAACTGGCTCCCGGTGCTTGTCGGGATTGCAGGCTTTCCCAGCAGAGGTCTCCCAGCCCAGGGGCCGGCAGCACCTGCACTAGGGGCTGTTGAGGACCTGATATTGCAGGTGCATGGGGTACTAGGGAATGGGCCTTACTGGCTCTGAAGCAGGCAAGAGGGGAGAGAACAGTACGCTGGTGCCCGGGCCTTGCCTGTGGGTGGGGTGGGAGCAGGCCAGGACCCTGAGGTGGCAGGCACTGTCCAGGCCAACTGACRTTGGTGCCAGTCCTCCATGACATAAAGGGGCCTGTGACTGTAGGGCTTACAGAGGTGGGATTGGTGACATTCACTGCAGCCCRGGCCCATCCCACAGCCCAAAGGGTGTTGCTCCTTGGTCAGCCTGGCCTAGTCAGCAGAGGGCTCTGCCTGCCACAGCAGTGTCCAGGAGGCCTCCCTGCCTCACCTGCAAATGGCCTGCATATTTATAGGTACAGTGGGGCCCTTAAGCTGGACCTGGGAACAGGTGCTACGCTGCCCTTGGCTCTGAACCTCACTGCTCCAGGAGTCTCTCTGTTGCTTTGTGCCTAATCTTCATGGCCTTGGCAGTARGACAGACTCAGAAAGTGCCACTGTTTGGGTCTGCTTAGACGCACACTGCCTCCTGTGGGACTCTGCCCTGTGCTGGACAGCAGGGACGGGAATGGCTTCCGCTTGAGCCACAAGCACTTGGCTCRTCAGTAGCAAGGGATGCTCGCCCATTCTTGGACTACAGCCAGGGTGGGGCTGCTGCCGCCACCCCTGGTCCCATCAGCTGAAAAGACAGAAATAGACCACAGGATCCTGTCCGGAATGTCAGGGCACAGTGTCCTCCTGCAGAGGATGACGGCAGGAACACTGCACTCCCAGAAATCTAGTGATTTCCTGAACCAAACCCCAAAGTTAGTTCATCCTGCAAAACCAGATGGTCAGTGTCCACTTCTGCAGGAGTATGGGAAGAGTGCCAGCTGTCTTCACAGTAGAGTGCAGTGACCAGTGGGGATGAGAGAATCAGGAAGCACAACCAGAAGCTGCCGATATGCCACAGACCCAGGCATCATCTCAGGACACTAGGAAGAAGTGCTTCCAGAGAGGGTGTGGGAACACCGACACAGCTGGACCAAGGCCCAAAGAGCCCAGGGGGTGAGCCCAAACCCCACTCATCACCTGGTCAGCCTCACAGTGGAGCTGAGCTGGCCCACCACCCAGGCTTCATGTTACCCCCGGCCTCTGCCTTTCTGCATCCCCTCAAGTGCAGGCACAGCATGCTTGTGCTCAAGCTGCATGAAGGGAGGACATGGCTTTGCGTGTGTGTGTGTGTGTGTATACTCACATAGGCTGGCAGCCAGAGGGGGCACCTTGGGCTTGTGGGGTGAGCACAGAAGTGGAGCATATGGAGGCAGATGGCTGTAGGTAACGGCAGTGTCCACTGCAGACGCACTGAGTGGACCTCGCTGTGTGATGTAACACGCAGCCATATCACCAAACACCTATGCCTCAGACATCAGGCTGCACCCACACACACACAGACAAGTTCTGCTTCTAGTTATGTCTTAATGTGGAAAAGTAAAACTCTTAAACAATAGCTAAAATCATGCTGAAGGGGCCTGCGAAGACACTGTCTCTGAAACAYGTTCTGGTCACATTAACGCTTCCCCTGTTTGGAGCCCACTTCTCCTGGGCGTGCCCTGAAACCGCCGGTGAAGCTCTCAGCTCTGAACATGAGCATAGAGCTGGTGTGTGGAGTGTGTGGCCTTCTGGCACCAGTCCTGCCCCAGGTCGCTGTGTGGGAGCTCTTGGAGGGCTTGTGCCTCCACCTTGTCAGGCATCACTGGGGCACATCTGTGCTTCTGTGTGACCACAGCTGCTGCTGCCTCAGCGAGATGCTGTCCATGTTTCCTTCCAGCAGGTGAATGATGGCCTCACCCTCAGCGACCTGCCGTTACACACGCTGAGCAACATCCTCCACCGCTTCTCGGACGGGTGGGATGTCGTCACCCTGGGCCAGGTGACGCCCACCCTGTACGTGCTCAGCGAGGACAGGCAACTGTGGAAGAAGCTGTGTCAGTACCATTTTGCTGAAAAGCAGGTGGGTGTGTGCATGACACACTTGGCTGCAGAGGCCCGTGTGCCCCGCCAGGTCTGTCCTGGCCACTAGAGAGGGGCTGAGCTCCAGTTCTGAGCATCAGGGTGACCAGGCTGTATTTCCCATATTTAAAAAGAACCATGATTTTGAAAATCACCCAGAAACAACTAGCACAGCCACAGCATGTTCGCTGTCCCACTTGTTGGTGGCAGGTTCCCCAGGGTCCCCTTCATCTAACGAGCTAATCTCCAGCTGTGTGTCCTGGAAAAGCCTCACAGCTCTGGGAGGCCTGGCTTCCTGTCCCCACTCACAGCTCTCAGCCGAGAGTCCCCAGGCACAGACGTGTGTTCAGGGCAGCCTGCCGAGGGCCTTCCCCATCCATGGCCAGGTCCTGCTGGACTGCTTCAGAGCCTCTGCAGAGCCGACTCTGCACACAAGGGAGGGCAGATGACACCCTGTGCAGCTCATCAGAYATCACTCCAATTAAGTACTATGAGCACTGGGTGTGTGCAGGTGTGGGACGGAACATGCGCTTTCAGGGCCAGGCGTAGCTTAGTAACAGACCCTGAAAAAGAAGCAGACATATTAGAAATGTGTGCACAGGGCGCAGGTGGGAAGCATCCTCATGGTGAAACCAACAGAAGTGAGCTTGGACCGGTCGTCTCAAGTGACCAACAGGCTTGACTTGAGCTTCTGATGTGGGTGAGGGATTCAGAGTCAGAAAACAYGGGCAAGTGGGCTGCTCCCCTTGTGCATGGGTGGGCACCGTGCTGGTAGAAGAGGGGGCAACTGAGCTTGCTTTTATTCCAGGAGACTGCTGTTTACAGCCGGGTATGTCAGGACTCCCCTTTACTTTTCAAGTCCTCACAGACTCCATCATCATTTGCAGAGTCCCCAGAAACAGGGACCCAGCTCAAGTATGGCGTAAAGCACTGCTCTTAGGAGCAAGGCACAGAGTGAGGGCATTGTGGTGGGCACGGACGGCAGGCTCTGCCAGCTGCGGCCGTGGGTGCACCTTGGGCTTCTGTGGGCACCACGGAAGAGCTCCTCTCTTTTCCCACAACCAAGAGTGTAGCGTTCCTTTATGATGCTGTTGCTTCGTGTGGCTGTCCCTGCCACGAGTGTGGGGTCAAGCATCATCACCCCATGTCTGCTTTCTGTCCCTAGACATCCGTGTTCTGTACATCCCTGTTCTGGACATCTAGCTTCTTACCCTCAGCTCATGCGGTCCTACAAACCGAGCTTCTGTCCCTCTGTGGACACCCCGGGTGTTTTTGTCCACTCCTCACTGGGGGACGCTGGCTTTGCGCCACCTGTGCTGTTACAGTTGCTCACCTCCAGGTTTGTGGACATGCTCCACCCCTAGGAACACACYCTAGAGAAGGAGCTGCTGGCCAGGTGGGGCTGCGTTTGGCCTGGGGAACTGGCTAGTTGTCTCCGTACTCGACTCCCGGCAGCAGCGTTAGGGTCCCACACTTGTGGGGTGTGAGGGGTGTTGTGCCCTGTGTCCCTGGCTGGTTGGGCACCTCTTTATTTTCTCATTCTATTGCCTATTCTTACATGGGGCTGTCTTTGTATTGAGTTGTGTTCTTTATGTGTTCTGCATACAAGTCCCTTATCAGACAAATGACATGAGTTGCTTATTTTATGCATCATGGACATCATGCCAGTTCTGGGTCATCAAACCCGTTGCACAGCTTCAGTGGTATCAGTATACAGGTATCCCACCATTGACTTGTCCCTTATTGGTGTAATCCAAGTAAGTTTAATTTCAAATAATTGTTTCGTGAACTCTGCTGCCTTTTAAAAATAGCTTTACACTTTAAATTGTTTTGGAAATCATTTGCCAATTCTCAACAGAATTTTGTTTGTTTAGTTTTGTAGACATTTGATCCTTTCAGAAAAAGGACATGTAGAATGGAAGTTGATGTATTTCACACTTCAGAAGTATTACCCAACCAAGGAGCAGTATGGAGACACCTTGCATTTTTGCCGGCACTGCAGCATCCTCTTCTGGAAGGTAATCATTTAAGTGTCTCCTGGAATGTGAGGGCTGTAATGCGGCAAAACAGATCATTCACCTGTATTTTAAGTGGAMAGGTAAGAATAAAATGGAGAACGCTGTCTGTGGCATGTTTCACCAGCCTGTTGAGTCAGCCTGTTGAAAACAGATGCCGTGTCCTCTCCCCATGGACGTCAGTGACAGGAGAGAGGGCAGAGGTGGCTCCTGAACATTGTTGCYTATCAGCAAGGCTTTGGTGAAAAACTTAGACACGTCATCTGCTCATCTACAGCACCCACTGTGTCAGAAGAGCAGAGCTGGAGCCCTTCACCTGTGCCTACKGTGGTCTTAGACTTGGTGCCCGCTCTCTGATGACATGCTTTCTGTGCAGGGAACAGCCCTGCAGGCCCTTCGGTGGCATGACTTGTTTTCTTGGCTCGTTAATGTCTCATCCTGGAATGCGTTTCGGTGGTGAACCTGGCATTTGATGGTGTGGATGTTGAGGCTTCAGTGGGGAAAAGGTGATCAAACTACGGAGGCCTGACGCTGATGGCAGTGCCGGTCCTGACCCCACTGCCCACCCACTGCCCAGGGCCCCCTCCCAACTGTTTCCAGGCTGGGCAAGGGTTGGCCTCTCCTGGGAACAGGTGTCTGGCTCCCAATCTCTGAATTGAGGGCAGCTGCAGATCCTGTTCTGACTGACCTTTGTTTTACATTTATCTATGTTATCAGATGGGTCACAGGCAAGCTCTAGAGTGTTTGGAAAGAGACAGCTGCTYTCACTGCAGACTCCACTGGTGATGCTCTGGCTTGTTATGGTGGTCCACCGCTGAGTGGACCATGTGAGGGGCCTGTTTCTCTCATGTTGGTTAACAGGCTTTACTTGTTCCATCAGAGGTAAGCAGGCCATGCAGTGACTCAGGCCTCAGCAAGGACGGCATAGGAGGTTCTACCCCTTCAGGTTTACTGTCCTGTGTTGGAGAGTGCCGTCCCTCTTCCTCAGAATCAGCAGCCACAACACAGCTTTGCTGTGTCCTGATGTCTTGGGTGGTCCCAGGAGAGCACATGGCTCCGATCCCTCCCCCCTCATGGGCACAGAGGCACCTGCCGGTGCCCTGGCCTGAAAGCAGAGGACATGTGCAGCAGCTCTCACYCTGCTTTGACTCCTTACCTGGTGGGAGCCAGGCCAGGCCCAGGGGATGCTCTGAATTGCTCACACTACTGAGAACGCAGCTCCCACCCAGTCACAGCTGGTGACAGTCGGTACGTCTAGTTTGAACTGATGCTGATAAGCGTCGCTTGTCTCTTTTCTCCTGAGCATATTACTTGATTTTATAGAAACGATGAAAGTAATGATAATTCTATACGTGAAATAACTTTTCATGGTATAGAAACCTTTCAGTTTGGTGAAGACGTCAACATTCTTACAAGAATATGTAAGAATATTGGAGCTCACCCTATCTGCTAAGTAGTTAATAAAGAAACACACACTTTCTTGTGAGTTTCTGTGGTTATGTCAGTGAAAGAGGTGCTGCTTAGGTTTCCTGAGTCAGAACACTCGGCAAGGTGCCTGTGGGCTTACAGAGCTGTGGCCAGAGCCTGAAGTGAGGCAGGCTTGACCTGTCCAGCACCCAGGTCTGGGAACATCTCCTATGAGCACTCTGACCAGCCGCCCCTACTCATGAGCAGGGAGAATGTGGGAACCCTCCAGATGGGCTAGGAGCGCAGGGCTGGGGCCTGTGGGGAGCAGCAGGCTTGCTGGTCCTCCTGGTAGAGGCTGAACGAGACACTTGGAGGTTCAGATCCACACACCCATTATCTAGCATGGAGGAGTAGMCCCTYGAGGAAAAGGAGGAATGAAGGACTTTTTCCAAATGTCCCTTGCACATTGAAACACGAGCCTTGCTTTGTGTTTCTYGGTGAACAGTTGTGAAGATTTAGCACAGGGGCCTTGTGAGTTTTCAGTTTGAGAGAATTAAAAGGAAATGGAGTATCTGTGTCCCAAGACTATCTTCAGTTGTATGGGATTCGGGGTGTCGGGTGGTTCCTGTCTTTTCGTACTTTGCATTGCCCTAGTTACCRTTTTTATTTTCATAAGTAATCTGCACAGTCCTGAATGACCACGTGCAGCTCTTCCTAACCCATCTTTCCTTCTCCTCTCTGCTGCCTCCCGCGGGCTTTTCTGCGTGCTAAGGACTACCATCTCGCTTGGCTCCTGAAGGTACTGCCTGTCTCCACTGCGCTGCGCGTGCCTTCTCCTCGCCCTGCCTGGCAACAGCCTTGCTCAGGTTCCTGCCCTCAGGAAAACTGGAGACCATCCATAAAAACACACTCAGTTCCCGGGGGGGGGGGGGGGGGGGGGGGGGGGGGGGGGGGGGGGGTGGTGCTGGAGAGCCCAGGGCTGCCCCACGCGGCCTTGCCAAGAGGGCGTCTGCTTCTTCACAGGCTTGCTTTTCTTCTCTCACTTCTGAACTACAATTCTGTCTCTTTGGCCGTGGGCAGCACTGGGCAGCACACCCTGGGTTCTCCCCATCCTTCCTGAATAAGGGCTCCAGGTGGGCAGAGGCCAGCCACTCCCCTGGCCTGWGCCCAGTAGAGGGATCCCAATTGCAAGGTCTGCATGGGCCAGGAGGAGGTGGGAGGGAGCTGGCAGGGAGACCAGCAGCCCCTGCACTGGTAGCTCCTCACACTCAGGAYAGCACTGGTGTCCTGCTCCACTGCAGGCCTCAGGAATCCACCAAGGAGGTACCATGGCACCATTGGGTGAGGTCAGGGTCCCCTTTGCCAAGTGCTGGTGTCTTCTCTGCAGCTGTGACTGACAGTGGTAGTGGCAAGTTCCTAACCCAGCTCCCCTCCCCACAGGACTCAGGTCACCCCTGCACTGCGGCTGACCCGGACAGCTGCTTCACGCCCGTGTCCCCACAGCACTTCATCGATCTCTTCAAATTCTAAAGGCAGCCCCCTGCTGGGCCGTCAGATGTGAGCACCGCGCATTCTGTGCTTCGTTGGTGGAGTGTTCTCGTGACCAAAATCCAGGACGGTTCTGCTGCTGGCCGTATCTGGAGGCCCACACTTCTGGAAAGAACTGGAAAGAACATGAAAAACTGCCACTCTGGGCTGTGCAGCAGGAATGGTGGTTGTACATTTCTGTCTTTGAAGGAGTCAGGAGACCCAAGAAAATCATTTCTGTTCTTCCTTTTAAACTTCTTTTCTTCTAAGCATCTTAAAATTTGCAATTTTGTATATTTATAAATCAGATCAAAAAAGATTTTTGGTTTTAAACTCTACATTCTGTGCTAAATAGATACGAATGACCAAGAATATGCTTCTGGGGTGTCAAGTGACAGTTTTCCATGGACATCTTCCACCCCACAGGGGAAGAGGGGAGAACACTGATCCTTCTCCCCTCTTAAATAAATAAATATCGCAGTTACTTTCACAAAAGCCTTGGCRATGCCAGGTAAGTCCTCCAATATCAGAGGGACCCAGGGAAGCACTGAGCATGTCCCATCAGCGGGGCGGGGCGGTGACTGTGCGGACTGTCCCTAGCCTTGCTGGGGGACGCCCAGGAGAAGGCCTCTGCCAGAAGGGCAGCAGCACAACGTGAAGACGGCCGCCACAGGAGCACAGTGGCCTSGTGTGTCCCGAGGTGGCTTTGCCAGTGTGCATCCGACTGAAGACGATGTCAAGTGATGTCATTCACATCAGTCTAAAGAGTTTTATTTTAAAACAAAGCATGTCCATTTTAGGAAATTTTGAAAATGAAGGTATGTAAATAAATAAATATCACTCCTAATTCCATAATGCAAATCCAAGTAAGTGACCCTCAGCAGCTGCTGTGTGGAACTGCACCACTGTCCACTCATCTCTGCATGGGGTGAGAGACCTTGGCAAATCATTTCTTTAAAAATGTCCTTCCCCCTGGGCACAGTTGCACACACCTGCAATCCCAGCTACTCAGGAGCCTGAGTAGGAGGATCAYAAGTTCAAGGCCAGCCTGGGCAGGGAAATAGCTCAGTGGTACAGCACTTGCCTAGCAGGCGTGAGGCCCTGTATTCAATCCCCAGCACYGCAAAAACGACCAAAAGTAAATAAATAAACAAAAGACTAAGCATGTTAAAATTTGTGAATAGGCATAACGTATTTTGGATCTTCGGTCCTTCATTCTGTGCTGAGCTGACATAAAAGCTCAAGAACAGTTTCCTGACGTCAGATGACAGGTTCCCTCCAGATGGATGCAGACCCTCAGCCCCTGTGTGTAGACCCAGAGGAGAGCTTTTCATGAAATCATAAAACACCCTGTCTGCTGCAACCAGAAGCCTCCTCCTGTGTCATTCGAAGCCCTGGCTGCTGTGAAGGTCAGCAGTGGGTAGCCTCTGAGCCTGCATGGGGCAATCCACAGCAGGACCAAGGTGACCAGCGCATCTCCAGCTGACTTCTTTCAGAGACATGCTGGGCTGCGGGCGGCACTGTGCTCTCTGTGTTTTCTCTTGGGTGCTGTCTTGTTCGTGTGGTTTTTTTCTTGAAAGGTTGTAATTTATTACAGTGCTGTTCAGCTGGGCTGAGGAACCACTACATCTGCATTTAACTTGCATGAATTGAGCAGTTTCTCGCAGAGAAAAGTGTACTGTCCTGTAGGGATCCACTCTTCAGCTCATCCTGGGTCAGGAGAGGCCTCCCTGGCGTCTGCATAGAACCCCCGGATCACAGGCATCGGGAAGCTTGCAGGTGGKGGCAAGCCGCTCTTCAGGGTTCACTCTAGGTGACTCTGATGTCGGTCACCCACTGTAGGGTGTAGTAAAAGATTCATGGGACTTAACCATTCCTGAGGGCACAGGTCTGTGGCATCAAGGAAAGTCCCCTCTGTGAAGACTGTCCCCATTAAACAGTAACTCCCTGCTCACTCTGCCAGCCCCTGACAAGCCTCCACTGTGGCAGCCCCTGTGTGTGGGACCGTGGGACCAGCTTGTGTTCTCCAGGCCCGTCCATGCTTTGGCAAATCAGGCCTCCCCCACTTTTTTTGATACTGCCAGGGATTGAACTCGGGGRTGCTCAACCACTAAGCCACATCCCCAGCTCTCTTTACTTTCTATTTTATTTAGAAACTGAGTCTCACTAAATTGCTGAGGCTGGCTTTGAACTCGCCATCCTCCTGCCTCAGCCTCCTGAGCTACTGAGATTACAGGTGTGCACCACCACACCCAGCTTCCTTTCATTTTTAAGGTCGAGTTAAATTCCACTGTGTGGCCGTCCCATGTCCTGTCCATTCTTTCATTCATCGTGGACACTTGGGCTACTTCCATCTCTTGGCTTCTGAGAACATGGTGTCTAGATCTCTCTTCAAGACTCTGCTTTGGCTTCTTGTGGGCACATACTCTAAGTGAGGTTGCCACCTCACCTGCTATTTTAGTCAGCTTTCATGTCACTGAGACCAAAATATCTGACAAGAACAACTTAGAGGGATTCTTTGGGGCCCGCAGTTTCAGAGGGTCAGTCCATCAGTGACRGCGCCCTGGCTCTGGACCCCAGGTGAGGAAGGGCCACTCAGCTCACGGCAGCCTGGRAGCMGGGAGAGGGAGCAGGGAGAAGGCTGCAACGAAGACGCAGCCAGGGACACGTCTCCTCTAGCCACACCCACCACATTCAAACGAGGGTGGACTGAGGGGGTTGCAGCCCTCACCATCATCACCATCAACCATTCCACCCTCAACATCCCTGCATTAACAGGAGCTTTGGGGGACCCCCCACCTCCAAACCAGGACACAGGGTGATTCTTTGTGCAGCACTGGCCATCCATCCCAGCAGGGCTGCACCTCTGGGCTGCACTAAAGTTCCATATGAACCTCACTGTGGGTTTTTCTATTTTTGCAAAATATACCATGGCCTGTGGTCAGGATTGCTTTAAATCTGAAGATCATGTGGATAGTGTGGACCTCTTAACAGTGTTCATGCAATCCATGAACAGGAGGTATTTCCGTTTTTTTTTTTTTTTTTTTTTGGTGTCTTATTTAATTCCTCTCATCAGTGTTTTGTAGTTTCTAATTGTTGATAGACCTTACTTTATTTACTAGTCTATTTATATGTGGTGCTGAGAATCGAACCCAGTGCCTCACACATGCCAGACAAGCGCTCTACCACTGAGCCACAAACCTAGCCTAGTATTTTTGTAGTTTGACAAATCTTTCACCTCCTTGGTTTAAGTTTATTACCAAGTATTTCATTCTTTTTGTTACTATTATAAATGAAATTTTCTTAATTTCCTTTTGGATTTCTTATTGAATTTTTGCATGTTGATTTTTTTGATCCTTTAACTTTATTGAATTCATTTATTCATTTTTTATGTGTATGGAGTCTTTGAGGTTTTCTACCTAGATTTCTACAGAGATCATGTTCTCTGTAGACAGAAGCTTCTTCCTTTTGCTGCCTCTCGTTTCTCTGGCTAGAGCTTTAGTGCTGTGTTGAGKGGAGCCGGTGAGAGTGGCACCTTGCCTCGCTCCTCCCATTGAATGTGACGTGTGCTGTGGCTTTGCCTGTGACCCTRTCGTGGGTGGTTGTCTTCTTCTGTTCCTCATCTGTGGAGTTTTYACATGAAGGGGTGTGGGAACTCTACTGAGATGGTCGCCGATGCTTTTCTGCTCATGTGGAGCAGATGTTGCGGGGTGGAGGGGGGGGGTGCACAGCTCGCCTGTCCATGTGCCCCAGGGCAAAGCTCACCTGGCTGTMATATGCCATCCTTTCCATGTGCTGTGGAATTCTATTGGCTTGTATTTCATCAAATATTGATATAAAAACGTTGATCACGGATACTGTTCATTTCTTGGAGCATCTTTGTCTGGTATGAGTATCAGAACAATGCTGGCCTCAGCGTGCATTTGGAGGTGTTCTCTGTGCGTGTCTGGACATCTGAGAAGGACTGCAGATTCTCCAGTGCAGCCACCGGGCCTGGGCGTGTCCTGCTGGGTGTGCTCATGGCTGAGTCCCRTGAGTGCCTTGGACCCTGCTTCTCTTCCCACGTCTGCAGACTGCCTCCTGACGCCTCGGTTCTGCTACTCGTCTCCTCACTCTGCATTGCACTCAGGCTTCATCTTCATTGTTTCCTGCGTTCTGTTGGCTTTGGGGTTTCTTCCTGCTTCTTTGGGGTGTAAATGTAGCTTGTTGGTTTGAAAGCATCTTTTTAGGTATGTTTCCAGCCATAAATTTCCCTCCTGCCACTGCTTTGACTACATATTTAAATGTTTGCACGTTATGTGTTAGTTTTCATTTACTTTCTAATCTTCATTGTGGTTTCTTCATTGGTTGTCTGTCGTTTAATTTCTACAAATTTGTGAACTTCTCACTTTTCTTTCTGCTGTGGATTCCTAGTTTCATCCCACTGTGACCAGAAAACTTCTTATGATTTCAGTCTTTTATGGGCTCACGTAGTGTCTGTCCTGGAGACTGTCCCATGTGCCTGTGTCGGCCCCCCGCATGGCGGTCACATGCCGCTTGCTGCCTCGGGTGTGTCCCACAAGGGAGGTGCTGAGGGGCTCTCTCGCCCTGGAGCGCCCTTTTTGGTCCTTTGGTCGTGCTGTGTTTGCTCGTGCCTTTGGAGTTTGGTGCTTGGTGCATTAGTTCGTTCATGGTCTTAGTGAGTTTTCAACACAACATGAAGGTAAGACTGTCCCCTAAGATGTCGGGGTGTCACTTCAACGTAATTCAAACACCTGGGCCCGAGGGCGGGCACTCCCAGTTCACACCAGGTCTGAACACTTTCTGCAGAGAGGCAGACAGTGGATACTTGGCAGCCATGTGGTCCCTCCATGGCTGCGGGGCTGCTGGGCGGAACAGCCAGCCAGTCCACACACGTCACAGACACTGACTCGTGAAGGTCATGCATGCTGTTTTCCTCACTATTTAAAAACCTAAGAACTTCTCTCATGGGCTGTGCAAGACCAGATTTGGCCAGCAGGCTGTGGTTTGCAGGCCTCGACCTGGTATGATCTCTTCTTTGTGTATGTTTGGTATTTTTCATTTAAAAAGTCTGTTTTTTGATGGCAAAAATATGTTCTCTGTAGAAAATTCTTTTAGAAAGTCAAAACACAAAAGTATTTAAAATGTTACCCATAATTCTACTTCAGTGTAGTAATTAACAGTTTGATGTAGCTTTCCAATATTTTCTCTGATGTTGCTTTTGAAGATTCACAACTTGTTCCCTGTGAAAAGTGGAAACAGGTACATGGTAGGCTGCACCATTCTCCCTGCTGCTCAGAACCAAATACCTGGGCTCCTAGGAAGAAGTAGCCAGCACAGATCCAAGCTGGGCTCCCCCAGAACTGGGTGCTGAGCCGTGGAGACCCCCTGCAGAACGCCAGCTGCTGTGTGCCCTCACTGGGACCCAGCTGTGACGTCTCCAGGRAGAAGACTTCTGAACACTGGTTTCTAAAGGGAGAGAAAGAAAAAAAAGATCACTTCTCCAAGAGAAAACTCAAATAAAGCCARTGGCACTTCACATCACCTCGATCCCACCCCAATTTGTTCAGTTTTTTTGACAGTACAGTTTGGTTATATAAACTTTGTAACTTCAGAGTCTTAAATATTTCCCTAAAACTCCCAACACTGATTTTGACTAATGAGTAATTCCACAGGAACCGATATCACTCATTTTGAAAGCTAAAGCTCCCCCTAGCCTTCATGGTTAGATTGCAGACATCTCATGCACAACTCCCCAAAGCACGCCAAGACATCAGTTTCTAAATACACAAACTTAACTTCCACATTTATGGCCTCTTGGACAAGCAGCCACTATTGTGAACGGGGAGGGGAGAGACAAGACCACCCGACTCCGAGACAAAGGACCAACACTAGGGTGTGGGCTGAGTCCCAGAGTGTGGCACAGGGTGGGGCTACACAAAGACCTTAGGAAGAGAAGAGAGACCACCCAGCAGCCGGAGGCCTTTG